TATACAATAATCAACAAATACAGTATATTAATTATAATTCAGCTATGGCAAGTGTGTATATTAAATATAAAACTTATTCTACAACAGTTTTATAAAAAATGCTGTTTATGGATAAATCTTCCCAGTTTTGCCAGTTAAGATATTAAACTCTTAATTTAAAACAGTAGAATGGCTTTTCCAATGGAAGAACTGCATATATGGCTAATAAAAAAAAAATTGTGGAGTGTAACAAGGCTCCTTGAAAGCAACTCATAAAAAGTTGCAAGCAGATCCTGACGCAAATGGATCTGGCGTGATAACACCAATCAGTGGATACCTTTTCTGGCATTATTCATGCCATGCCCCTAGCGGGAGAAAAGGTGACTCAAGTAAAAACACATTGCCTTGAGGCCTGGGCTGCCTGGGGAAAACCCCTAGCCTTAAGGCAGACAATGGCCCAGCATATACCTCCCATGGATTTCCTGCCTTTTGTGCACAGCTCCAGGTAACCCACATTATGGGCCTTCCATACAATCCGCAAGGACAAGGTATTGTGGAGAGAGCTAACAGAAGTATTAAAGAAATTCTGCAAAAACCAAAAGGGGGAATAGCTGAATCCGCTTCCCCCAGGGAAAGAATCTCCCTTGCTCTCTTCACACTTAATTTTTTAAACCTGAATGAGTCGGGTACTGCAGCAGCTGAAAAGCACGCAGCAGGCCCTATGTAACAAAAGGAATATGTGATGTGGAAAGATGTATTGGATAACAAATGGTATGGACCGGATCTTGTGGTGGCAAGATCCAGGGGAGCTGTATGTGTTTTTCCACAGGGCCAAGAGGCTCCGCTTTGGGTTCCGAGCCGGCTGACACGCATGATCAAGGAAGTTCCTAAGGATGAGGCTGAGTCTCTGGAAGAAGATCCTGCTGACGTCCCTGATGATGTGGATCCAGGGGAAGGCGGAGCACAGATGGGGAATCCTGTCAGCCTTCCCAAAGGTGATGCCTGTTTGACATGATGCCACGGTTTTCCCCAGATTTTTACCACCAATAGAAACCTTGATTTACCATTTTTAATGTATGATTCTGAAGTGGCCCCTTTAGGAGAAGCACGTAACATTACAGAGAAAGGGTCCCTGTGCTTTCAATAAGGAGTGAGTGGGCGTGGGCATGTTTTTGGCAAGCTGCCTGGGTGGCTGTGTGTTGTGCCTGTGGTTGGTCTGCCGCCTTCATGCCCAAACCAAGAGGGACAAAGTAATTATCTCCCAAGCATTGGCTGCCCTGGAGTGTGGCTCCTCCCCCCAGACATGGCTATCGGCACTAAGAGACGCTTAGGGCTTCCATCATGCACAGCCTATGCACCCCATGGGATCTGTTGATCCATTACACAGGGGAAGGTGTGCGGATGTAGGTTCCTGCGACACAGCCTTTGCACCCCCGGGGTTCCTCGAGTACCCATTGCACAGGGGAAGGTGCGTCCATGGAGAATATCTTCCATCCTCGATCGACCAACACATCATGAGGTGGGGGTCAGATTGGATGATGCTGGTCCTGCGCTCAGTGCTCACAAACAAAAAGGGGGAACTGCAGGGAGCCGGACAGAATCGCCATTACAAGATGGCGCTGACATCCTGTCCCGTTGGAAATAAACAACTCCATATATGGCGATATATGGCTATGCCTTTGGGAGCTGCGTGTCCCCTGCTTCCCGCATATGCGGTGGTTTAGAGTCCTTGGGCCTATCCCGATGCAGTCTGGTGGCAGCTGATGGTGGCAGCCAATCACAGGGCGACCCGTGTGCCTACTCCCTATATAAGCAGCTGCTTTAGTGCTCTGGGGGGGGGGGGCTCGCTTCCTGCTCTCCTTCAACCAAGAGGCACTCCATTAAAGCGTGATCTGAGAAGAATCCTCGTGTGGTGGTCGTTTTTCCTCGCTGGTCGAGAAGTTCGCTGGTCGAGAAGTTCGCTGCAGCTCCGTAAATTCTAAACCCCAACTTCAGAACACTGAGAACTTACTGAAGGTACCCAGGGCTTAGAAGAGGTGAGGGTTACAGCAGGCCTGGATCACACAGCAGCAGCCCCAGCAAGCACATCTTTAATCCCAGCACTTGGTGGGTAGAAGCAGGCAAATCTCTGAAGTCAAGGCCAGCCTGGTCTACAGAACAAGATCCAGGATGATCAGGGCTACACAGAGAAACACTGTATCGAAAAGCCAAAAATAAAGTTTTTGTTACATTTACTTATTTGTGTCTGTGTGTGAGAGAGAACATGTAGAGTCATACATATGTGTGTGAGAGAGAACATGTAGAGTCATACATGTCTGCGTGAGAGAACATGTAGAGTCATACGTGTGTGAGAGAACATGTAGAGTCATACATGTGCGTGTGAGAGAACATGTAGAGTCATACGTGTGTGAGAGAACATGTAGAATCATACATGTGCGTGTGAGAGAACATGTAGAGTCATACGTGTATGTGAGAGAACATGTAGAGTCATGCATGTGCGTGTGAGAGAACATGTAGAGTCATACATGCGTGTGTGTGAGAGAACATGTAGAGTCATACGTGTGTGTGTGAGAACATGTAGAGTCATACGTGTGTGTGAGAGAGAACATGTAGAGTCATACGTGTGTGTGAGAGAACATGTAGAGTCATGCATGTGCGTGTGAGAGAACATGTAGAGTCATACGTGTGTGTGTGAGAGAACATGTAGAGTCATACATGTGTGTGTGTGAGAGAACATGTAGTCATACAACTTTTGGGAGTTAGCACTCTCCTGCTATGTGGGTCCCAAGGATTGAAGAGAAGTCGAAGTCAAACAGTATTTTTCCTCTCTCTCTCTCTCTCTCTCTCTCTCTCTCTGTCTCTCTCTCTGTCAGTCTTTTCCCCCCTCTCTCTTTCTTTCTCTCCTCTCTCTCTCTCTCTCTCTCTCTCTCTATCTCTTTCTCTCTCTCTCTGTCTCTCTCTCTCTCTCTCTCTCTCTCTCTCTCTCTCTGTGTTCCTGGGGTTTGAGCCCAAGATCTTGGTCATGCTAGTGCTTGTTAAGTACTGACTTGGCAGATGTGCTACAGTCCTATCCTTACTTCATTTTGAGACAGGGCCTTGCTGAATTTCCCTGATGGTTTCAGATTTTTCCATCCTCCTACCTCAGCCTCCCAGGTACCTGGCACTACAGGTGAGTTCCATCATGCCAGGCCTGGGGTGCATATTTTCAGTCTCACTTCTTATTCTTCTCTTCAGCTTTAAACAGACATTGTCCAGGTTTTTGTTTCTTATTTTGAATTTTAGGTTAACATTCAAATATCAGTTTTGTTTGTTTGAATTTATATTTTTGTTTTACATGTATTGGTGTTTTGCCTGCACGTATGTCTGTGTGAGGATATTGGATCCTCTGGAACTGGAGTTAAAGATAGTTGTGAGCTGCCTTGCGGGTGCTGGAAATTGACCTCTGAGCCATCTCTCTATCCCCTTGTTTTGTTTTTCTAAACTCTGGTGAACTATTAACCCTATGATCAAGCTACACGTATACTGGTCCATAAATTTTTACGTGAATTGGGGAGTTGAACAAGCTTTGTGCCTGAGCAAGCTGTCGACCCAGGGCATCATGCTTCAAAGACTGGAGAGCATGCAGTGAGATAATCTTCCTGGAGGGCAGAGGGTAGGATCCAGCACAATGTGAGATGGGCTCTTTATTCCACAAAATCTAATAATTTAGGAAGATAAACTGAGCAATAAAATATTTGCCTAGTATGTCCAGGGTCTGGCTTTGATCCCCAGCAGGGCAGAGAAATAAGGTTCAAAACAATGAACTAAAGATTGCCATGGTGGCACATGCCTTTCATCCCATCACTGGGAAGGCAGAGCCAGGTGGATCTCTGAATTCCAGGACATCCTGATCTACAGAGTGAGTACAGGGCAATTGCTTCACAGAGAAATAAATAAAAGTAAAATTTAAAATTAACTTTAAGTTTTTATAACTTAGTTTGTGTGTACAAGTGGTTTTTGTTTGTTTGTTTTGTTTTTGTGAGACAGGGTTTCTCTGTGTAACAGTCCTGGATGTCCTAGAATCCATCTTGTGGACCAAGCTGGCCTCAAACACACTGAGATCTGCCTGCCTCTGCCTCCTGAGTGCTGGGATTAAAGGTGTGCATCACCACTGCCCAGCTATGTACAAATGTTCTGACTGCAGACACGTGTGAGCACCATGAAGAGGGAATCAGATCCCTTGGGAATGGAGCTAGGCATGAGTGTGAGCTGCCGTGTAGGTGCTAAGAACTGCTGCAGTCAGGGGCCACTTCCTCAGCCCCACCTCCCCATTATGAACTGTTTTTGTTGATATGAAAACTATTCGTTATTGCTTTTTATCTTTTTTGGGTTATTTTGTTTGTTTTATTTTTTGGTCCTTTTGAGGCAGGTTTCTCTGTGTAAACTCCCTGGCTCTGGAACTTGCTTTGTAAACCAGGTTGGATTTGGACTTGTGAATGCTGGAATTAAAGGCAGGCACCACCTCTGCCCGGCTTTCTTTTCAATTACAGAAAAATATTTTTGAGACATGGTCTCACTTTGTAGACCAGATTGGCCCGCCCTGGAACTCAATGTGTGTCACCAGACTGGCTTTGAACTAGCCTCAGTCGCCCGAGAATGGGACCAGTGTGTGACACCATGTCCTATGCACTTCTAAATTGTTTAGCAAATTGAGTAATTCATTCCTTCGCCCAACACTGAAACCAAAATCTCTGGATTTTCTTGGCTTAAACCTCATCAACACCTGCTAAATTGAATGCATTCCAGGTGGTCATGGAGGTAAAGTTGGCCAGCCTTGTATTCTGGGAGACTCCCCTTACGGCCTAGGGATCGGATAGCATGTGTTTCAGAATGAAACCACTAAGGGGCGCCAGCTCGCCCGCTCTCGGCCATGGGTTGGATGGCGCGTACTGCCGCACTTGGTCACTTGGGGGCGCTCGCTCGCCTGCCCAGAGCGCCCGCGGACAGCGCCGCCCCTCACTAGGGAAGCCGTGGCCCTTCACTACCGGCTCAGTCGCCGCCGGCTCGGTCGCCTCGCAGTCACGCCATGACTTGTTACATCTACCAGCTGCCGTCCCGGGTGCTGGACGACCTGTGCCGCAATATCGACACGCTGAGCGAATGGGATTGGATGCAGTTCGGTGAGTGAGAGACCGCCTGCTTTCGACCAGATCCGCGCCCGAGGCCGGGGGATACCTGTTTAGAACGCTGCTGCCTTGTTTTAGTTTCCAGACCTACCTAAAACTGCTTATGAACTTGCCCAAAGCGTAGGCTGGCTAAGTGAAAGGGTGTATGGGATTCGAATCCAGGCTTCTGGGTGACTCCCACCGTAGCTGCGTGGCGTGTTTTTGCCCGTGTGTTTATTGATCGTGGAGCTGTAGCCTCTCGGAATAGGTTGCCTGATCAATTGCGCGGCTGCCCAGGCTGCGTTCAGTCTCATCAGTTTGCAGCTTGTTACGGTATCTGGGGCCACTCTCTTAACTCCCCTGAAACTTGTCTTAATCTGTAAACTGTAGGTGACAATTATAGCCTCGTTATGCGGTTGTGAGAAATAAACTGGTGTCAGGACAGGCTCCTTCCTACCTGAGTGCTGCCATTCTGTGGCTCATTTTCCACTCTTTGTTAACCGTTTTGAGACGGTCACACTGTGTGTAGCCTTGGCTGCCCTAGAACTTGCTGTGTAGACCAGGCTGGCCTGGAACTCACAGAGATCCACCTGCCCCCGTCTTCCCAATGCTGGGATTAAAGGTGTGCACTCCCGTGTCTGTTTGTCTGTCTGTCTATCTATCCATCTAATGAGGGAACTGATCCTAGGGACTTGTTCCTGTTAGGCTAGCAAGATACCAATGAACCATATCCAAGGCAATTGTTTTTGTCTTTTTTGAGACAGGATCGTTTCCTTATGTAGCCCAGGGTGTCTTAGAGCTTGTCACCCTCCCTCTTTTCTCAGCCTCCTGAGTGTGGGATTACAGATTTTTGACATTTGTGCCTTGGTGTTTTTTTTCTCTTCTGTCTTTCTTCTTTTGGATAGGGACTTATGTAGTCCACAATGGCCTGGAGCTTGCTATGAGCCTAGGCTGCCTTTGAACTTCTGATTCTCCCACTTCCATTTTGGAATGCTGGGATTACAGGTTTGGTTTATGTGTCACTGGACCAACTAAGCAACAGCCCCGTCCCCATTCTTGTAGGTTGGTCAAAAGGACATAGTCAACAGTTGGCATTCTTAAATTTATGGTTTAAGTCAGCATAACTTGCCACTTAATTTCTTAAATGAGGTTATATATATATATATATATATATGTCATTGTTATGTTATTATTTGCTTTTTAAATTTATTTTTATTTTAGATATGGTCTCACGTAGACCAGGCTAGCCTAAACTCAGTACATAGCTAAGAATGACCTTGAACTTCTGGTCTTCCTACTGACTCCGCTCAAGTGCTGGGATATAGGAATGTGTCACCATGCCTGACTTCAGTATTATACATGTTTTACATTACCAGAGTCTGGCAAGATTGTTCAGTGAGTAAAGGCTCTCAATATCGAGCCTCTGGACCTGAGTTCAATCCCTGGAACCCATGTAAAGATGGAAGGAGAGAACCAACCCCACAAAGTTGTCCTGTGACCTCCACACATGAGTCATGGCTTGTGCACCCACACAAATCATGCATCAGTACACAACAAGTTGTTTTACACGTTCGAAGGGTGGTTTTCGTGCCCATTGGTGACACCCAGGAGTGACAGCATGCTTCCTTCGACATTTACTGTTGAATCAAAATTTTGTGAACCCTAACATTTTTTAAAGAACTGTTTTACATTTTGTCAGGTGTGGTATGGTACACACCTATAATGCCACAGTGGAGACGCAGAGGCAGGAGGATCAGGAGTTCAAGGTGCAGGTACCCAGGGAATCAGAAGATAGCTGGGCAAAGTGAGACCTTATCTCAAAACAGAAGACAAACAACAGAACAAAACGATCACTCCCCAGTTTTTACATTATAAAGTACAGCACTAATTAAGAAGAGTATATAATATATAGGTGTGCTTGACACAATAAAGGGAATCTGTGTGTGTTGTCCCTCGAGTTTGAACATATGTATGTTAGGGTTAAGGTGTACCTCAGTGCTAGAACTCTCAACTAGAATTTTGGACGCCTTAGGATCTGTCCCTAGCCTGGCAAATGAAAAAGAAAATAAGAAAAAAAATCATAAGTATTTTAAGGTAAAGGTCCTTAACTTTGGGATTTTTTTCCCCATAAGTAACAGTTGCCAGTGTCTAGAGACATGTCTAGTTGTCACACCTTGGTACATGCAGTGGTGAACATCAGGGCTACTGTAAAACACCCAACAGGGCAGACCCTCAGCACAGAGCAGAGCTACTCCCAAGAGTCAGCAATGATGGGTTTCAGGGACCCTTTCACCCAGGAAGAAAGGAAGTTGATGTGCAAAGAAAAGAGAGAGAGGAAGAGGGGAGGGGGAGGGAGGGAGAAAAGAGAGAGAGTGAATACTGTAGGAATTGAGAGCAGAAAGATGAGCCCAGAGGCTGGAGAGATGGCTCAGTGGTTAAGAGCACTGGCTGCTCTTCCAAAGGTCCTGAGTTCAATTCCCAGCAACCACATGGTGGCTCACAACCATCTGTAATGAGATCTGGTGTCCTTTTCTGGCCTGCAGGCATGCATGTAAGCAGAATACTGTATACACAATTAAAAAAAGAGAGAGAGATGAGCCCAGTTCTCCTCAGGGATGAACATTCTTAGCCTCAGAGAGCCCTTTGTAAGAGCTGGTGCTTCTCACGTTTGCTAGCCTCTTGACCTTGCAGCCCGTAGTGCTCAGGATTGTGCCTTCTGCTCTTTTCCCAAGGGCATTTAAGTGTAGCATTCAACCATCCTGCCATTTCTGTCCACTGGTTATACATGACAGACAGCCTACCTTTTTAAAGAATTATTTTTATTTCATGTGCATTATGTATGAACTGAACCTGGATCCTCTGGAAGAGGAGCCAGTGCTCTTAACTGCTGGGCCATCTCCCTAGTGCCCCCCCCCCCCCGCCCCAAGCCTGCTTTTTTTTTTCTTAAAATACATCATAGGCCTTCACTTTGTTGGAGACCCCCTCCCAATGATCTGTTGTGTAGCTGACACTGGCCTCAAACTGGTGATCCTCCCGCCCCCAGCACCACACCTGGCAAGGTAGTCTTTGGATTTCCTCTTGAGTGTACATTTTCATTCTGCATCACTGCTGGAGAACTAGGAGGCTGGTGTTGGTAACACCTGGGATGAAGGACTCTTCTCGTGTGACCTCAGCCCTAGTCTCAGGGTCCTGTGAGGATGTGTGTTGCCACCTGATTGTCCAGGGGACTCTGTGTCCCAACACTTGGATGCCCTATGCTGACTTGGAATATTTCCTGGACAGTGACCAACTGTGTGTGTGCATGTGTGTGTGTGTTGGGGGAGAGGGATGGTCTTTAATTTTTTTTTTCATTTCAGCCCAGACTTGAACTGCTCAGAGCAGGATACCTTCTGTTCTTAGAACATTAGTGTAAGAGGCACACTTATGGCTTATGACTTTTTGAAGAAAGCTTTATTTTTTTTTTTTTTTGGTTTTTCGAGACAGGGTTTCTCTGTGGTTTTTGGAGCCTGTCCTGGAACTAGCTCTTGTAGACCAGGCTGGTCTCGAACTCACAGAGATCCGCCTGCCTCTGCCTCCCGAGTGCTGGGATTAAAGGCGTGCGCCACCACCGCCCGGCCTTTGAAGAAAGCTTTATTAAGATATAATTTATGGGCTGGCAGGGGTGGCACACAATTTTAATCCCAACACTTGGAAGGCAGAAACATGTAGATCTCAGTGAGTTCAAGGCCAACCTGGTCAACAGATCGAGTTCTAGGTTACACAGAGAAACCCTGTCTCAAAAAAAAAAAAAAAACCCAAAAAATAAAAAATAAAATAAAAAGATATAATCCACGAGTCTGGTGTAGCTCGGTAGTAAAGTGTGTGCTTACCTTGCCAAGGCCCTGGGTTCAACTACTGGAATAAAATAACAGAGGAGGAGGAGGGAGGGAGGAGGGGAAGGAAGAGGAAAAGGAGGAGGGAGAAGGGGGGTATTGTGGTGGCACAGACGCGTGGTCTGTGTTTTGGAAGCCGCTATTGGAGGACTAGGAGTTCAAGGTCAGTCTCCTCTGCGTAGTGAATTCCAGACCAGCCTGGGTTACTTGAGGGCCTGTCTCAAGCAGACAAGCAAGTGATCAAACAAAGAAAAATTCAAGCAAGAAACCCATAATCAACGATCATATGATGTGCATATTTAAATCAACGATCTTATGATGAACGTATTTCAATAAGCAATCATATAATGCACATATTTGAAGAGCATCTCAGTAGCACTTCGCACATTCATAGAGTTGTGATTTTATTCTTATTATTCCTAAGTGGAACCCTGTTCTCCTTAAATACCGCTCCTCCCTCAGCCGCCCTGGCTCCCTCAGCCGCCCTGGCTCCCTCAGCCGCTCTGGCTCCCTCAGCCGCCCTGGCTCCCTCAGCCGCCCTGGCTCCCTCAGCTGCCCTGGCTCCCTCAGCTCTAGGTATTTCCCCTTGGTTCTCCTGAACGCACGCTTGCGCTCACCCTTGTTCCTGCTTTGGCTAGTCCATCTCTCTCGTGTGAGTAGGGGCTGATCCTGCCTCTTTCACTGTGTCTCTGGAGTCAAGGACAGTGCTGGGCAAGTGGGCAGGTAGGTATTCAGCATCCACCCCAGAGAATGATGCCCTGAGCCCAAGGTTGGTCCTCCCCTGAGAGTCAGGGTCGCCGGCCCTGGAGCTGGCTATGCAGCTGCCATCTGGTCTCAGGACTCTGGTTTTCCATGTTGCAAAGGAGGAAGAACTTGAATGACTGTTCCTCTTAAGTCTTGGCAGCTGAGTTATTCTAGAAAAAGATGAGCTTGAACTGTGGTCCTCGGAGGGAGGGTGTGGGATGTGGGATGCAGGAAGATTTAAAGTGACTTAGAAAACCCACGGCCACAAATACGCACACTCGAAAGTTGTAGTATCTGTCTGAACCTGTGTAGATCGGGTTCTTACGGTGTCATCTAACTGGGAGTGTGCGGAGGGACCCCTGCAGGAGCCGCCTTGCTGGACCACTCTCCTTGCTCACTAGTGCATAGCAGCATTTGTGCACTGCATAGCTGTGTGACTGCAGGCAAGTGACTATACTCTGAGCCTTTCATCTGTAAGACACTGAGGAAACACAGTGGAGTTTGACTAGTCAAGAAAGGGGCGTTTGACCTTGAGGCTGGGTCATTTTAGGAGGCTGGGCTGCCCTTGCTCTCGAAGATTGCCAGAATGTAGCCAATTCTTTCTTGGGTCTCCAGGTAGGAAGATGAGGAGGATTTTGATTTTTCCTCTCTTCCATAGTGATCAAATTAATAACAGCCATAGCCTAGCGGGGCTGTTGGCAGTGACTGAGTCCCCCTGCTTGCCTCTTGGCCTGTCCTGCTCCTGGGTGTAGTATTAATAGATCACTATCATAAGAGACATCAGTTTCACAGAATTACCCTCTCCCTTTCAGGAGGCACCCTGGGGTTCACTTCCTGTTTCTCCTGGAAGGAAATTGAAATTCACGGAGAGTCAAGGCTTCTCCGGCCGAAACTCCTTTCACCAGCATCCTTACTGGGCTGGCTTTGACGTGACATCACTCCTTCCTCTTTGTCCCCTAAGAACATTGGGAAGGGGACTCTGGGCTGTTACATCACTTCCCGCTGGCTGGGAATCTGGTTTGGAGTTTCCAGTGACTAAAACTGCAACTCTGGAACTTTCTGTTCCTGCAGGGCGCTTCTCCTGCAGGCTTCTCTGTGGGAGAGTGGCACGGCCCTTCTTCATTTCTCTAGAGAGGGAGACTGACAGCGTAAGGGCCCCTGTGCTTTTCCTGGCTCTGATGTCTTTCTTCCGAGGTCCTACCTCTGGAGTTCTGAGCTTGACCTCCCGCCTCCCTGTGCCCTGTTCAGCACCCCTCCGAGCTCATGTTCTAAACAGAAAAGCTCTCTGGAGTTTTGGTTTCGCCTGCCATCTCTGGAGCCCACCCAGGTCTCCAGAAGAGTGTTTAATGACATTTTTCTTTGGGGGTGCCAGGGCTGAACCCAGAGCCTCATGCATGGGAGGCAAGCGCTGTATCAACCAAGTACACCACACTCACCCCAAAACTTGACTTTGTGTTCACATAAATCCCTGCTGTGATTTTTTAACTCTTTGAACCAAGGGTTGATTTTGTTGTTGGTTTGTTAGTTTGCTTATCTTTCCAAGACAGGGTTTCTCTGTGTAGCCCTGACTGTCCTGAAACTTGCTTGTAATCCAGGCTGGCCTCGAACTCAAAAAGATCCACCTGCCTCTGCCTCCTGAGTGCTGGGATTAAAGGCTTGCACCACTGCTACCTGACTAAGGTTTGCTTTTTTTTAATTCCTCATTTTTGTTCTGTTTTGTTTTGTAGTACCAGGGATGGAGCCTGGGGTCACTGCACATGCTAGCAAGTGTTCTTCCATCATGCTATATCATGGTACCTCCCCAGGCTAGACCATTCTCAAATTTTGTTTTTCTTTGTTTGTTTTAAATGCTTCCCTTATGTCAATAAACTCAGTGGCAGGACTGGTGTAGTGGCTCATGCCTTTAATGCTAGCACTTGGGACGCAGAGGAAGGCAGATCTGTGAGTTCAAGGTCAGCCTGACCCGCACAGTGAGATCCTCTCTTTAAAACTGTCAGCGGGGCCGGGCGGTGGTGACGCACGCCTTTAATCCCAGTACTCGGGAGGCGGAGGCAGGCGGATCTCTGTGAGTTCGAGGCCAGCCTGGTCTACAAGAGCTAGTTCCAGGACAGGAACTAAAAGCTACGGAGAAACCCTGTCTCGAAAAATCCAAAAAAAACAAAACAAAACAAAACAAAAAAAACTGTCAGTGGGATGCCTTTTAAGGTCTGGGAGTATGGCTCAGTGGTTTGACATGCATGCTGCCCTTGTTTTGAACCCCAGTTCTGCAAAATACAAAAACCCATCCAACCAACCAAACAAACTCTTTATAAGCTGGAGAGAAAAACTCAGAGTGAAGTCACGTGAGATGAAGCTCTGGGCTCAGTATCCAGCACCATGACAATAAAAACAATAATAGCAAAAATAAAATTAATATTTAAAAAAAATGAAGACAGGTTCTCACTATGTCGTCCTAGCTGGCCTGGAACTCACTCTGTAGACCAGGCTGGCCGCAAACTCACAGAAGTCCTGCATCTGCCTCCAGAGTGCTAGGATTAAAGGCGTGCACCATCAAGTTTAGTAAACAGTAGTAAAGCTGAAAAGTAGCCATTTATGATGAGCATAGGTCCACTGGGAGGAGGCTTGAACTACCGCATTAACAAGTAAGGTCAGGGCCTTACCTCGTCTGTCCAAATCCGTCTGAAGCCAGCACCCTGTGAAGGATGAGAGAGAGCAGCCTAGTGGACTTGACCAGGGAGGCTGGGATTTTCCATGGGAACCCCCATCTATTTTATACCAAACAAATCCAAAGGGAAGCCAGGTGTGCTGCTTCATGCCACTAGTGCCAGCTAATGGGAGACAGGGGCAGGAGGATTGCTGCACTGTAGGCTAGTCTACCCCGCACAGCCGAACCTTGTTTCAAAAAATAAAAGAGGGAATGCATAATTTTGTATTATTGCCAACACAGCTCCTTACAGTTCTGCCCAGTGCGTCACGGTTAGCAGAGTGCCGACCCCACAGGCTGCGTTGATCCCTGTGACAGTTCCATGAGGACGGTGACCATGGGTTCATCGTTCATTCATCAATCACAGACCTATTAATTTTTCCCACCGGGGTGAGACTTACTGTGCCAGGTGCTCAGGGAATGGCATTGGAGGACATTTTTTGGGGTCCTCCAAGAGTGGGGTACCCTGAGGCTGAGGGCCTCCCTACCTCGCGGCCGTCCACTCATCTGCATCCGAGCCTGCTGCCCTGAGGCGGGCAGTCTCTCCGTTTGGGGCTGTGGCAGGGGTGGAGAGAGATGAAACTCCCTGCCTGCAGGGGCTTCTGTTTTAGATGGGGCGGGCACAGTTCTGCTCCCCGTTGAGGCTCTTGTTGGGGAAGAGATCATCCCGAGCCAAGAAACTGCTGGTACCCAAGGTTCCCGGGGTTCCGGGCTCCTGTCCTGTGATCTTCCTTCTGTTGAGACCCGGGAGGAGCAGTGGGGCAGGAAGGGCCTCTCCCTCGGAGGTGGCATCTCCAGCGCTAAGCAGAATCCTCTCTTGCCTTCCAGCCTCCTATGTCATCACAGACCTGACACAGCTGCGGAAGATCAAATCCATGGAGAGGGTGCAGGGTGTGAGCATCACTCGGGAGCTGCTGTGGTGGTGGGCCATGCGACAGGCCACGGTCCAGCAGCTGGTGGACCTCTTGTGTCACCTGGAACTCTACCGAGCTGCCCAGATTGTCCTGAGCTGTGAGTAGCCATCCGTCCCTGAGAGGGTCTCAGCAAGGGCTGTGTGTCTGTCTGAAGACCCGGTCCATCTTTTGTCAGTGCAGGGGCTGGAACCAACTTGGACGAGATGAACTCTCTGACCCTGAGCTGCAGCCTAGCCCTAGACCCTTCTTTATCCCAGACTGAAATTCAACACCAAATCATTTATTGATCAGATATTATCTGCAGGGCCTGCTATGTACTCTTCTTGGCACTGGGATTATCAGGAGAAATGCTGACTAGCTAGAGACCTAAAACCTTTTGTTTTTGTAATTAAAAAATATTGGAGTGGGCAGTGGTAGCGCGTGCCTTTAATCCCACCCAGCACTCAAGAGACAGAGGCAGGTTGATCTCTGAGTTCGAAGCCAGCCTGGTCTACAGAGTTTCAAGACAGCCAGAGCAACAAGAAAAACCCTGTCTTGAAAAAAACAAAACCAACCGACCAACCAACAACAGCCAACAGAGGCCAGGGAGATGACTGGGTGGGTAAGGACATATGTTGCCAAGCCTTATAACCTGAGTTTGCTCTCTGGGACCCACATGGTAAACGGAGAGACTCCCAAAGGTTGGCATCTGACCTTCCCACACATGCCGCGGCAACTGCGCCTCTCCCCACAAAAGTACACAAATAAACACATTTTAAAAATTTAAATCCTGAGCCAGGCGGTGGTGGCGCACGCCTTTAATCCCAGCACTTGGGAGGCAGAGGCAGGCGGATCTCTGTGAGTTCGAGGCCAGCCTGGTCTACAAAAGCTAGTTCCAGGACAGGCTCCAAAGCTACAGAGAAACCCTGTCTCGAAAAACTAAAAAAAAAAAAAAAATTTAAATCCTGGGGAGCCAGGTAGGCGGCAGTAGCAGGAAAGGAGAATAAAGAGATCAAGGGAAAGTGATGGGGTGGGGACGCTTCCTAGGACTGTGGTCAGGGATGGCCAGTCCAAAGAGAGAGCACCATCTCTGTGAGTTCGAGACCAGCCTGGTCTACAGAGCTAGTTCCAGGACAGGCTCCAAAGCCACAGAGAAACCCTGTCTCGAAAAATCAAAAAACAAACAAACAAACCAAAGAGAGAGCACCACGAAAGAGGAAAGAAATAACAGGGGTCGGAGAGCCCAGGGAGGAGCCTGCAGGGAAAGGTGGGGTTTGGGGTGTAGCTGAAGGGTAGGGCGCTTGGCTGAGGTGCAAGGCCCTGAGCTCCAACCCCAGCACTACATAAAAGAAAAGAGATGGAGCCTCTGAGGCCTGGGAAGTCCCGACAGGGCTTTGAAGTTGACCTGTGTGGGCATGGGAATGGCTGCTTCCTGTGCCAGAGACCCTGATGCAGTGCTTGCCTGGATGACCGGAAGTCTTCTTCAGAGAAGGATCGGGGTTAGAGCACCCCAGTCTCAGAGCTGCAGCCCACATGGGCTTCAAGGGTCACCCTGGGACTGTGCCCACTCTTCAGCTGCTAGGAAACTCCCTGGGATTTAATGTATGTGGGTTTTCACACATGATGACTTTCCCTTTGGGGCTTAAATAGGAGGTGCCTATTCCAGCAGGAGAGACTCCAGCCAGGCTTGCTTTTGCAGTCCCAGAAATTGTCCCATAAACCAAGGCCCTGCCTGCTGGCCATGGCTTCCCCCAGGCTCTCTCTCTGTCCTATTTGTAATTCTCTATCCTGTCTCTTTCCATGTCCACCTTCCCTCAGATTGGACAGGGCAGCCTGCTTGGCTCACAGCCCTTTAGAACCTGCTAGAACTCACCCTGTCCTGTCCTGAGCTGTGCCAGACCACTGATCTCCATTCTCTGAGTACCAGCCAGAGAGGCCTGGTGCAAGATACAGCTGGCTGAGTCCAGGTCTGGCCTGTGCCAGAGCCCTGGGAGACCCTCCTCCTTTCAGGGTCTCAGACCCCACCATTGGCCTGTGAAGGCACCAGCCTGGATGCCAAGCTGAGCCCTCTCTGGGATTCTTGGAGTCTTAGTCCTCATGATCGCCAGAACCAAGAGGCCTTGCATTTGATCATGTGATCAGCTCCTGATGATTATGACCTCAATTTTGGTTTCTCTGTATTCTTAGAAAACTGCACTGTGACAGATGCTGAGAAATGATAAGGTGGAAACTGGTACGGTGGCAAACATCTGTAATCCATCACTTGGGAGGGAGAGGTAGGAGACTCAAGAATTCAAAGCCAGGGTGCCAGAGAGATGGCTCAGCTGCTTTTTCGGAGGGTCTGGGTTCAATTCCTACCACCCACATGGCAGCTCTCAACTGTCTGTTGTCCTGGGGATCAGACACCTTCACACCAATGCATATAAAGTTAAAAAAAATAATTAATTAAAAATAGAATTCAAAGCCGGCTTTGGTGACATAATGAGTTCAGGGCTAGCTTGGTGCTACATGAGACCTTGTTTCAAAAAAAAAAATCTTTTTGTATGTTGAAAGAATTAATTATAATCTCTCAATGACTCCAAAGGAGGTGAGGAAGGGTCCCCAGAGGTAGGAAGAGCTGCCAGCTCGTATGTGGTCACAGTGGACTTACTGCTGGTCCACTTTGGGGAGTCAGTTGGCCAGCCAGGAAAAACCCTGAGATTGACAGTGGTGTCCCCTCAGGATGTCTGATAGCAGAGGAGGCGCCCCAGAGGTTGGGAAACGGCTCCTCCCACCACATCCCCTGGCCATTGACTAATCTAGGAAAAATCTTTACCATTGAGGTCAACAAAGACTGTGGCACTATATTTAAAGAGATACCCTCCTGCCAGGCACAGTGGTGCACATTCTTAATTCCAACACTTGGGAGGCCGAGACAGGCTGATCTCTATGAGTCCTCAGTCAGCCAGGGCTGTAAAGAGAGACCCTTTCTCAAAATCAAACAAACAGCCAAAGAATGGCTGTGTGGCCTGAGGTCCCAAGCTCCAAGGTTCACCGGGTCTCATCTGGATCCAGGGCCCACTGCTCCACTCCCATAGAAGCTGAGCTAACGAGGAGGGGTTTGGGAGATGGAGGGATGGTGGGGGCCCAACTGTGGGCTCTCTGGTCTTGCTGGAAGCACCACCTCCCAGCCTTTGTGATTAGAGCCTTCTCTGACCAGGCCCTTTTCCTCAGTCCTGATGGCTGAAGCCACCTGAGGCGGGTCCCCACTCCCCTGTCCCATAGCTGTCGTTGTGAGGTTTTGGCTCTGTGCTCACCACTGATCAAGTCCCCAGGCAACAACTTCCCCTTTCTGACTCTTGCTGGTTTTCATTAGAGAAAAAAAAGTTGCCTGCCCCTTCTGAAGGTGAACACCCAGGGAGTGTGTGTGTGGGGGGGCACTCAAGTTCCGGTGTTAAGAATGCTCAAAGTCCCTTTTTCTAGCCGCGATATTTAATCTTGTTTTTGTACTTACCTGCTTAATTATTAACTGTAGTTAACTTGAAAAATTGACTTCTACCCAAATGAATTTAGGACCTCATACATGCTAGACAACTGTTCTACCCCTGGGTATCCAAATGTGGTGTGTGTGTGTGTGTGTGTGTGTGTGTGTGGTGTGGTGTGGAAACAGGTTCTTCCTGTGTCACCTGGATGGCGTGGAACTCACTGGGTAGACAAAGCTGACCTTGAATTCAAGAGATCTGCCTGTCTCTGTGTGAGTTTGAGGCTAGCCTGGTCTACACAGCGAGTTCCAGGACAGGCTCCAAAAGCTACAGCAAAACCATGTCTCAAAAAACCAAAAAAAAAAAAAAATTGAAGGTAGCTGTATTCAACAGATGTCCTGTGTGGGACACTTGTCCAGGCAAGGACCTGGGCTCCCAGCACCACAAACAAAAAGCCCCAGGCAGCAGCTTCCATAGAGCTGAGGGGTGTCTCAGCAAATACATTCTGCAGTCAACAGTGTCCTTGTGACCATTATGTGAGCCAAAGGCTCACAGGTGCTGGACTTGCCTTGTCTTGAAACCAAAGTCTTTGAGGGGATTGGTTTGCGGGTTTCTGTTCCTTCACTTTTTCTCACTTTGATTGCCAAGGTCATTATTTAACCTGATAGCCATGAAATATGACAAGAATTGGAATAGATGATTACAGAAGGCACATACTAGGAAGCAGCTCCCAGAGACACCACCTTCTCTCCCCGCATCCATTTTTGGTCGTCTCCACAGCAGACTCCAGGCTCTGGTTCACACGGTGTGGGCTACACAGGCATAAAGAACCAGCTGGGCCTGGCCTGGTGGCACGTGTCTGTTAACCCTAGCCCTGGACAAAGGGAAACAGGAGGGTAGTGAGTTCCAGGCTAGCCTGGGTTACATAGTGAGACCTTGTCTAAATAGCAGTCAGTCAGACTAAACTGGGAGGCGGCTCAGTGGGTGAGCTCTCTGTGAAGACTTAAACCCAAGTAAAATCTGGGTGTGGCCACAGGTGCCTATAAGCTCAGACCTGGCTGGGTGGAGATAAGATGATCCTGGGGCTTGTTGACCTAGCCCCCAAAACCGGAGCTTCAGGTTCTGTGAGAGAGGTTAAGGCCGTGGTTCTCACCCTGTAGGTCGTGACCCCCTTTGGGTGTCGAATGACCCAATCACAGGAGTTGCTCAAGACTATGGGAAAACAATGCCGGGCGGTGGTCGCGCACGCCTTTAATCCCAGCATTTGGGAGGCAGAGGCAGGCTGATCTCTGTGAGTTCGAGGCCAGCTTGGGATATAAGAAGAAAGACGTTATCTGCACACACACATATTCCTTCCTGTCAGTACACCCACAATTCATTGCTGGAATGGAGCCGGAAGCCACAGGCCATGTATCTGCAGTCAGTGATTCCAGTAGGACCTCTCCCAGCCTGCTGGTGTGGCTCTCCTGGCCAGTCTGCCTGGCAGCCCCTGGTTCCTAGTATGTCTCTGGTCGCCACGCGTCTCAACGTCTGTCTCAATGGAGCCACGGTTGAGCGGCTCAGATGTGGTTTACTGGGAGAGGGTTTGATTGCATTGCATAAGGCTGGGTCTCAGGGTGCTTGTGTGCAGTGGGGTGGATGGATAGTAACGATCTCA